AGCACATTTTTGTAAAATCTCACATCAGAGACAAAGCGAGGGCCATATAATCATCACACAATATATCTGTGTATCAAATCATCACATTGTACACATTAAATTTACATATGTTATATGTCAATTATATCTCAATAAAGCTGGAAGAAAAAAAGAAGAGGTGCCAGCCCCATGACCGAGTGGTTAAGTTGGCGCGCACCGCTTCCCACGGCCCGGGGTTTCACGGGTTCGGATCCTGGGCGTGGACATGGCACCGCTCGTCAGGCCACGTTGAGGCAGCATCCCATGTACCACAACCAGAAGGATTCACAACTATGTGCTGGAGGGATTTGGGGAGAAAAGGGCAGAAAAAAAAAGAGGATTGGCAACAGTTGTTAGCTCAGGTGCCAATCTTTAGGAAAAAAAAAAGAAGAAAGAAAAAAAGAAGAAAGAGAAGGCTATAAAAGCTGCCAGAGAGTAAAAACAAGTCAATGACCAAAGAACAAGAACCTAAATTGCATCATTCTTACCAAAAGCAACATTAGGTGCTGGAATGCAATACAGCAAGCCTTTAGAATTCTGAAGAAAAGCGATTTGAAACCTAAAATTTTATAGCCAGGTAAAGTATCGATTGAATGTAAAGGGTAGAAAAAAAGTGATTTTCAGATATGCAACGACTCAGAAAATATCTACCTCATATAGCCTTTCTAAGAAATTACTTGAAAATGTGCTCCAGTTAAATGAGGGAGAAAATCAAAAAGAAGACGACACAGGATGAGGAAGACAGGCCCACTGGGGAGAGGGTGGGGATACTCTTCTAAGAAGCTTGAACTTCATCCTGTAGACATTGGAGGAACCATGGGTTTCAAGCTGGAAAGCAATATGATGAGATCCATGTTTTAGCAAGAATATTCTGTCCTAAGGCTCAAGGTGGAATTAGTAGATTTCTGGGAGACGAATCAGGAAGTTTTTGCAAAGTCAGGTGAAATGTAACTGAGACCTAAACTAAGGTGGTAGCAATGAGACCCATGAGACTGTAGACGTATGAACAGCCAAGCTGACATCTGATCAGGGGGTTTAGCCCAATTGCATTTTACTGTAGATGTTCATGTCATAAATGTAGGGCAAGGGCAAGAGAGACTCCAAGGGGACACGAGCCCTGGAAGATGGTGGACGGAAGATAGGAAATAAAGAAATACCAGAAGGCTTGGAGGAAAGAATCATTCCATTTGGGATATTTTGAGTGGAGAGGCTGTGCTACATCCATTGGGAAGTACGAAGGAGCTCCTACCTTCCCTTCTGATAACATCCAGACTGTCTGATTAAAACTGCAGATCCCAGGCCAGCCCCGGTGGCCTAATGGTTAAGTTCAGCACACTCCCTTTCAGCAGCCCGGGTTCACTTCTGGGGCATGGACCTACACCATTTGTCTGTCAGTGGCCATCCTGTGGCATCGGCTCACATACAAAAAGAGGAAGATTGGCAAGAGATGTTAGCTCAGGGTGAATCTTCTTCAGTAGGAAAAAAAAAAACCCTGCAGATCTCTGCAAGGGAGGTTAAATTAAAAAAAAAAAAAAAAAAAGGAAAAAAGCAGCTGTTCCCCTTGTTTGACTCTCTAAGTGTCGAGGCAGCATGAGTGGAGCAGCCTGCATCAGGAGAAGGCAGCACCTCAGGAGCACTTTAGGAGCAGCAGGTTTAATGGATGTGGAGAATATGTCGAGTGGCCATTGCCAGCAGGGAATGAAATGGCTCCAGATAGATTCTAATTTGGACTTTAAGTAGCTTTAGGCCCCAGAGATGAGGTTGAAGAAGTAGGTAAGAGCCAGATCTGTAGGACTGTGAAGAGCACGGTAGGAAAAATAGATGTGATTCATGGTACATTGGGAAGTCACTGCAAGGTTTTGAGCAGGAGAGTGACATTACTCAATCCATGTGTTACGACTATTCTGGCTGCTGTGTGGAGAATGGATGAAAGGGAGTAAGGGTGGACAAGAAAGCTATTGCAGCAAGAGAGGATGTTAGCTTGAACTAGAGAGCTTACATTGGAGATGCAAATGTATGGTTTCAAGATTCTTTTGAAGTTCAAATCCACAGGTCTTTTGCTAGACTAAATGGAGGAGGAGCAGGTTGGGGTGGGGAATCAAAAGCTGAGTTTGGGATGGACCTGTTAAGTCAGAGATGCCTATGAGGCATCAGGTGGAGATGTCAAATGAGCAGTTGGATATACAAGTCAAGATCTGGGCTGGAGCTGTGTTTGCCGGGTTCCTTGCTTCTGACTTGAACTCAGATAAACTCCAAATTGAGGCAAGAAGGCATTTAATATCCACTGAACACCTACTATATGCCAAGTACCCCTTATGTTACAGATGTTTCCGTTGTAAGATTTATACACATTTTCCAACACCTGCCTTCTCGATGCCTGCCGAAGCATCCTCTCAATCAGCCCCACTGGACCCAACTAGAGGCCACCTGGGATACGCTTGTTGCAGACATGCAGACAAATCATGGAATCACTTCCTCCCTCCAAAATTCCTAATGAGTCCCTGGAGGGTTGCTGCACCTGAATCCATGTTCAAAGACTCCAGAGACCTGCAGATAAGGGGTAGAGAAAAGCTCCTAGGACCTTGAACCTAAGAAATCTAGACCTAAATTACGTTTACAGCTCCACCCTTAGTTTGTTGAGTCTTTTTGGACACAACAGGCCTTGTTTATTTATCTTAACTTTAGTATCCACCTGCTTCATAAAAATGCTCTGAGAATTGAGATGAGATTCTGAATTAGCTAGAGAACATGTTAAATAATAGAGATTCCTGGTCCCTGCCATCAGAGATTATAATTCACTTGGTCTGGGGTGTTGCTCAGAAGGCTATATTGCAGATGATTCTGATGCAGGTCCAGGTGATGCCTGGACCAGAAACACTGATTTGCAGAGTGGTGAGCTGCCAATTTTCACCAAATATCTGCCTGAGATCACTATAGCAGTTTTAAAATAAGCCACCAAATTCTCCTTCCTTCAAGAGGTGGGCTCTATGTCTCCTGCCCTTGAATGTACCTGTTCTCTTGGAATGCTCTAGATACTTCCTCCTAGGATGTTCCCTCTCAGAATCTGGCCATCATGATATAAGAATCCCAAGCCACAAGGAGAGGCCACATGAAAGTCCCAGTTGAGCTCAGCCTTGAGCCATCTTAGTGTTGGCACCAGACATGCAAGTAAAGGAGACTGTAGATAAAGTCACCCCAGGCTTCAAGTCTTCCCAGCTGAGCCCCAGACGTCACAGAGCAGAGACAAACCATCCATGCCACTCCCTGTTCAAATTCCTGACCCACAAAAGCTGTGCTTATAATAAAAAGATTGTTGTTTGATGCCACTTAGTTTGGGAGTGTTTTGTCGCTTAGTAACTAGAATGGTTACTAAAGTATTTTCTCAGGAAATATCTATTAAAATGCAAACATGTTACTTGGAAGGATAAACTCTTTCAGATGAACACAATCAGTGTATCCAACAGACAGAAAAGCAGAGAAAATGAGCCAAGAGATGCTCTCTTGTTTCACTGACATGAAAGCGTCACTGGCTAAAGAGACAAATAAGTTGCTTCCAGAAAACTGTAGGCAGAAAGATGGCCAGACCTTGAAGACAGCAAGATGGCTAACAGAAAATAGGCACTTCAAAAGGACAGATGAGGCACGAGAACAAAGTCCAGCTTCATTTCCTTCACAATTGTGCTTAAGACTGGTTCTAAAATCCCTCAGCTCTCTCACTAACTGCAAAGTTGTTCATTTATGCCAGTTTCCCAAATGTACTTGCTTACTGTTAAAAAGCACCTGGGGATCATATAGCCACAAGCATCAAGCGTAACTCTTACCATCAGGCTAGTCTGGGAAATGCTGAATTATGGACTTGTAAAATTAAATACAAAACAAATAGCAAATGTGGCACCATTCCCCAAGAATCACAGCTCTGCAGTGAACGGGGTTAAGACGCCAGTTTTCTGTTTATAAAAATGAGTAGCAAGGGTCTAGCGGCCTTGAACTTTGAGAATATAAATCCCAGCTGAGTTCAGTTACAATGATGTGGAGGAAGGAGTTGTAAATGCTGGAATTCACTTGCTAAGCAGTCACTACTAATTATATTAAATATTAAAAATGTGATTGTAAAAATGTAAAAAATAAAATATAAAATAGGAGAGATGTCAGGTTAAATATTCATGGACTTATTCAAGCCTCTATTCAATGCAAGTAAAAATGATGGAGCAAGATATGTAACCTGAACTATCTGGGGCTGAGAAAAGAACAGGACATGTCACACTAAAAGGCCATGAATTAATTCTACTTTAGTAACTAACACTTATATCTACCTTGTCTCCAGCCTCACCATCTCCCCCATTGTTTTCAGAAGTGACTTGAATCTCATTTCAGATTGTTAATGTAAATACTGGACTTTTCTTTCCAGGAATACATTTACAGCCTTCTAAAGAAACTGTGGTGAGGGGGTTCTGAGTCATCAATTCACCGGGTAACTGGTTATGACTTTTAAGTTCTGCATCATTAGAAGATTTTCACGATACTGGTGTTGATCCATATCAATGAGCAGTTTTTCAATGCCAAAACCCTAACCCCCACAGAGACTGAGAACAGTTTAGGCCCCTTTGAGCCTGTCAAATTTATTTCTCTTTCCTCTTGAGACCCTTTAATAGTTATACAGTGTAGTTTTCCAAAGTAAAAGGGACATCCGTCTCTGATTCCAAGAGTTTGCATGTACTCCAATGGGTAAAATAAAATGTCTGCCAAACTATTATTTGTATTGATGGATACTAGAGTTCCAAGAAATAAAAATGAGCTTAGAAGCCTAATGTTCCCCCTTAGACCAGTGGCTGTATATAAAAAAAACTCAGAGTGCATATTCAGTAGCAGAAAGGCGCATGTCACCTCCCCATTAATCTCAGACCTTTCGACTTTCCGGCCAAGAACTGGAAGGCTCTGGCTGCTCACCATCTCTCTGTATTACTCTGCTTTCTGCCTCCCAGGGATGTCTCTTATACCACTCTTACTGCCTTGCCATCCAAAGGCCTGGAGCACCTGAAGGAATTGATAGCAAGAAACACTTGGACTCTAAAGAAACTTCCACTTTCCTTGAGTTTCCTTCACCTCACACGGGCTGACCTTTCTTACCCGAGCCACTGCTGTGCTTTTAAGAATCAGAAGAAAATCAGAGGGTAAGTGGCAGGTGTCTAGAATATGTGACAAAAGGCCTTGGTGGAAGCTGGATTAACTTCTGGGTTTGGGGAAGAAGCCTTGTGGTTTGAAAACCAGAGGGAGAAGAATTTGGAAGCATCCATTAGGAAACATGAAATCCATGGGACACAATGACTTTGCAGACTCAAAGTGGTTGCAGATGAAAATAAAGCCAATGTGTGCTAGATTGCGGCAGAGGAGGGGAGGATAACAGGCGATCACGAAGGAGGGATAGAAATGAGCAGAACATGTAGAATCTTGAAGAGATTACATGACATGATTTCTAGCCTCCAGATGCAACACATATTAGATGCTACAACTAGAGGACAAACTTAGAAACAACACAAGCAATTGAATTACCGGGTCAGTTCAGGCTTTGCAAATGTCACAGCTCACTGGTTACATGGGTGTGGGCTTTGGGTCAGCTGGGTTTGTGCCCCAGCTGTGCCACTTCCTAGCTGTGTTATCCCAGCCTACTTACTTAACCTCTCTGAGCCTTAGTGAATGGAGATCATGATGCTATCATTTATAGAGTTTGAGAAGATTAAGTGAGAAACTGAATAGAAAACACCTATCACAATGACCTAGTATATAAGTTCTCAATAAATATTAACTACGATATATATTATTTTATTATCAAGCTGCTTGCAAGGCTGCGAAGGAAGGATGGCCTTCTTTTCCTATCCATGCTTTCTCTGAATCATGTCTTTACCAATACTTTTACTCTGCATTATTTCCCCCCTCTATGTCTCGTGCACTTCCCTATTCTCCTACCACCTTCGTTTATCTCTTATTCACTCCCTCTCAGCTTCTATATAATATATACTGGTTGACTTTCTGCACTCATACTTGCAGTTGGAAATAAATTGGGATCTAGTTGTTGGGGAAGAAGCAAACAGGAAAGTTGAACAGCTGTGCAAAGAAGGCCAATACGGGCATAATGCCTGCAGAAAACTAGGAGCTGGGTATGGGGGAGGTGATAGCAGGCTCTATACTGATGCCACATGGCCCTGAATAGGAAGGGACCAGGGATGGGTGGGAGGCTAAAGTTGGCCTCAAGGGCAGGGTCCAGATTTCTTGTGAACCTCCAAAGAGGCTGGAATAGGCAGTCCATTGGACATTTTAAGCAGAGCCCAATAGATGAGTCAACATCTGCTCAGCAGCCAAAGCAAGTTAAAGAATTTCTTTTGATGTCAGTCTGGTATGCTAGCAAAAAACTAAATCTTACTTCATTGAGCATGCCTGCATGATAGTGTCCATTTATTCAATAAATATTTACTGATACCTGCTATGTGCCTGGCACCATTCTCTCCACAGCAATGAATAGGACAGGCAAGAGCACCCTTGCATTTTGTTTACATTCTAGCAGAGGAAGTCAGAAAACAAACAAGCAAACAAATAAGATATCAGATAGTGCTATGAAGGAAATAAACACCAGGGAGGGACAATTTATTCAAGGAGATGAGGGAAGGCTTTTCTGAGGAAGGGAAATTTGAGAGACAGCCATGAGTTTTTCAAGCAAAGGGAACATGGAGTTCTAAAACTCTGAATAGGAACAATAATAAGAACAATAACCAACACATCCATGGCACTAACAATGTTCCAGGTGCTGTTTAAAGAGCATTTTAAAAGATAAACTCATCTAATCCTTTAACAACCCTATACGAAACAGATACTCTCACTATCCCACTTACAAATGGATAAACCAATGTTGCATAGACCTTCCCAAGGTGAAACAGCTAGTAAATAGTAAAACCAGGCCCTAACCTAGGCAAACTGGTCCAGCATCTGTGCTTTTTTTACTCAATGCTGTTCTTGAATTGGTTGCAGATGAGAAATAAGGGCAAATGTCACTGGATCACAGTAGGGGAGCCAAGGGTAATAGGAAATTATGTAGGAGAGACAGACCTGACCAGATTATGTAGAATCTTGTAGAATCACAAAGATCATACTAAATATTTTGCTGAGCATTGTAGGGACCATTAGTGAGGTTTTAGCAAGCAGTGACTTATATCTATTGCTTTGCAGAATCCTCGAGTCCTTAATGTGTAATGAGAGCAGTATTCGGAACCTGCGTCAGAAAAAATCTGTGAATGCTTTAAATGGCCCCTTCTACCAAGAATATGAAGAGGGTCTGGGTGACAGCAGTGCTGGGTACAAGGAAAATTCCAAGTTCCAGGACATCCACAGCAACTCTCATTATTATGTCTTCTTTGAAGAACAAGAAGATGAGATCATTGGTTTTGGCCAAGAGCTCAAAAACCCCCAGGAAGAGACCCTACAGGCCTTTGACAGCAGTTACGACTATACCGTGTGTGGGGGCAATGAAGACATGGTGTGTACCCCCAAGTCAGATGAGTTCAATCCCTGTGAAGACATAATGGGTTACAAATTCCTGAGAATTGTGGTGTGGTTTGTTAGTCTGCTGGCTCTTCTGGGCAATGTCTTTGTCCTGGTCATCCTCCTGACCAGCCACTACAAACTGACTGTCCCACGCTTTCTCATGTGCAACCTGGCCTTTGCAGATTTCTGCATGGGGATGTACCTGCTCCTCATTGCCTCTGTAGACCTCTACACTCACTCTGAATACTACAACCATGCCATCGACTGGCAGACGGGCCCTGGGTGCAACACAGCTGGTTTCTTCACTGTCTTTGCCAGTGAGTTGTCAGTGTATACACTGACAGTCATCACCCTGGAGCGCTGGTACGCCATCACCTTCGCCATGCGCCTGGACCGGAAGATCCGCCTCAGGCATGCATATATCATCATGGTTGGGGGCTGGGTTTGCTGCTTCCTCCTTGCCCTGCTGCCTTTGGTGGGAATAAGCAGCTATGCCAAGGTCAGCATCTGCCTGCCCATGGACACCGAGACTCCTCTTGCCCTGGCATATATTATTCTTGTTCTGTTGCTCAACATAGTTGCCTTTATCATCGTCTGCTCCTGTTATGTGAAGATCTACATCACAGTCCGAAATCCCCAGTACAACCCGGGGGACAAAGACACCAAAATTGCCAAAAGGATGGCTGTGTTGATCTTCACTGACTTCATGTGCATGGCCCCAATCTCATTCTATGCTTTGTCAGCACTTATGAACAAGCCTCTCATTACTGTCACCAACTCCAAAATCTTGCTGGTTCTCTTCTATCCACTTAACTCCTGTGCCAATCCATTCCTCTATGCCATTTTCACCAAAGCCTTCCAGAGAGATGTGTTTATCCTGCTCAGCAAGTTCGGCATCTGTAAACGCCAGGCTCAGGCATATCGGGGCCAGAGAGTTTCTCAAAAGAACAGCACTGGTCTTCAGGTCCAAAAGGTTACCCAGGACATGAGGCAAAATCTCCCCAACATTCAAGATGCCTATGAACTGCTTGAAAACTCCCATCTAACCCCAAATAAGCGGAGCCAAATCTCAAAAGAGTATAAGCAAACAGTTTTGTAAGCTGACAGTGGTACAGGGACTTATAAAAAGTTGGTTTCCTGAACATGCATTCCAACCCCATGACGTACAACACACAGCTGACCTAACCCTTGCGCAGGTGATGTTTCACAGGGCAAGAGTTCATCTCTGGAGACGGACTAGCATTAACCTAATCATCACCTCCAAGAAGAAAGAGAGACTACCAGCATGTTGACATCAAAACAATCTATACTTTCTGGAAGATTTGCTTTATGCTAAGTTCAGAGATGACATTGTGTAAAGTGCTCAACAAATATCAACTGAGCCATGTCAACATTGAGCTCCTCATTTTTATAAAGCATTTCGTGGTAAATGCTATTAACTTGGTTGGTGACCACAAGATAAAATTGGCCTCATGTTGGCTCAGCCCAGCTTCATGTTCCCTGATACAACCAAAGAGAGTCTGAGTTCCTTGAAACTGAAAAGTCAAACGGGACGTCAGGCAAGGTGCAGCTATTAGGAGACATGAAGTGGGGGAAACACTTAGCTTTGAGTTGTTTTTTCAGACTCTGAAATTTAATCATCTCTTCACAAGGATCTACCTGATGTGACCCAACTGTTATGTGTTGCCTGGAAAAACTGGCAAGATTTCAGCTTATGTGGCTGAAAAAACTAAGAATTGCTCTTCTTGGCTAGTCTGATAGCAAAAAAAGATGTGAACTCTAGAAAGTATTTCTAAGTAGCAACAAGATGGAATTATGAGCACACTAGATCACCTGTTGATTAATAAAGCAGGCTGGATACTAGTTAACTGTTGGACCTTGGGCAAATCGCTGGACCCCTGAAGTCTGTAGAAAGGAGGGAGCTTCATGGCCTCTTCAAGTTTTAAAACTCTATGTATATCCCTTTCCCTCAAAACATATGTTGTCATAACAAAGAGAAAGAAAAGCACTAAAGAAGCAGAATCTCTTTTTCCTGTCTTGTAGAGATGCCATCTCCTTCTCTTTGGAGCCTAGACATATGACCTAGGAAATTTTTTCTTTGTTTAATTTTCTTTTGTCGGTGAGTAAGATTGGCTCTGAGCTAACATCTGTTGCCAATCTTCATAGTTTTTTTTTTTTTCTCCCCAAAGCCCCAGTACATAGTTGTATATCCTTGTTGCAAGTCATTCTAGTTCCTCCATGTGGGATGCCACCACAGCATGGCCCAATGAGCAGTGTGCAAGTCCGCGTCCAGAATCTGAACCAGCGAACCCCGGGCCACCAAAGCAGAGCACACAAACTCAACCCCTTGGCCACTGGGCTGGCCCCTTTGTTTCATTTTTGGTTATGATGTCTGAACCCAAAATTCTATTGAGTGACCATATTGGGCTGGACATGAATCACTCATCTAATTGCTAGATCTACACAGCTATAATTATCAGGCTAAAAACAGATTGGCATTCATATAATAGAATAAAAGAGAGTTTTGCAAATTTTGATTATTTAGAGTTACTACTTCACTGTGAAGATTCACTTGAAAACATTTAACTTGTCTTCGGGGATTGGTTTCTTTATCTTGCCATTTCCAACCCACAATACAACACTAAAGCCGTCAAGAGAGGTTTCTTCTCTCTGAAACTGTCAGCTCTTTTCAACCTTATTGATCACTGGACATGAAATCTCTATTGCCCAACTGTGCTCCCTTACTTAAAACAGTCAGGCTCTTTATCTATAGATGTACTCTCCAGGTTATCTGTCAAGACATCTCCTTAACTTCATCCCAGACAGAGATGGCATTTGCTTCTCAGTGCTCATGAACCACAGCAGGAATTAAAAGCTTATGTCATTTTAAGTCTGCGAAGTGGGGTTTGTGGGCCCAATAGGCCCCGAGAGATGATCCCCCGACTCCCTAGGAATATCTCCATAGCCGTACCCATTCCTGATTATCATTGAGACTTAGATGTTTTAATAGAAATATTAGGCACACCTAATATCATGACTTATCCACCAGTTCACTTGTAAGTAATGAAATTAAACAAATGTGTTACTGTTTAGCATGTGTTTCTTGCCTGTGACATTTTGAAATATCACATCCTAATAAATAATGTGTTTTATCTTGAATAGTTGAAATAATGCTTTGGAAAAAGTCCTAGAAAAGTGACTTCAACAGAATTGTTGCTAAAATTTGCATTTTCAACATGAACTAAATTTTCTTCCTGTGAAATGATTGTGCTGAGTCCTAGAGGATTGCTTTTTGTAATTTGTGAGCTGCTTTTAGGGTTATCATTCTATGTGTTAAAACTAAAGACAGGAAAAAAACAATTGTCACATTTGCTAATAACTTTATATTAATAAATTATTAACTATCAATAATTTAAGTATAGCATGGTATCTTGATTATAAATGGTCTTTATGAAAAACTTATAGTGAATTGAATTATGGTTCATTGACAAGCATTGATGGATAAGAGAAAAAAAATGATTGCCATTGACACTAGGAATTTAAATAGTGCTCTAATGAAGATAGTAAATCAGATGTAAGCAGAGTTCACTTTATCTGGCAGCTTTTGACTATCTGAAGATAGACCCAAATCAGTGAGGACAAACAGCCTCAGGCCAGTCACAACAGATGTCACAAAATTCATGCCCTAAAGCTTATACATGTTTCTCAAAGGAGTGTCTCTCAAAACACCCTCAAAGTTTGATTCTCGCTTTCTCGACAATCTACTGCATACCAGAAGCAGGGAGGGAAGGAAGTCTGCCCACAGTTAATAGACTAAGAAAAAGAAGTTTGTTTTCTAAGGTTATAAAATCAACCAATTGAAAAACTTAAAATTAATACTGCTAAGGGGGGATGAGTGAAAAAGACTTACATGTGGAAAAGTGTTTATAAAATGTCATAGCACCAAAAGTAAAGGGAGATCTAAATGTCTGAGAGAAAATCACGAGAGTAAGAGAGAAAAGTCAGGTATCCGAAAGGATTAACAATCAGATTGACCTTTAACTTCATGTTAACAACATCGTATACTAGAAGACCATGGAGCAACACTTTTGATGTCTTGGAAAAAATATTTTAAATCTAGGATCCTATACCCAGCCCAATTATCATCCAAGTGTAAGGGCAAAATAATGACATGTTTATACAAGCAAGTACTTGGCAAGTTTACTTATATCAGACAAATTATCCAAAGCTTGGAAATCAGCAAAAAAACAACTGGGTGTTTTTTCAGTGCAGTTGCTGGATTTGTCTATTCCTATTGTCTAGGCTATTTTGCAACTCTGTAAGGACAGAGGTTAACTTTTCCAGAGGATTTCTATCTGATACAGATTCAAAGAACTTCTGCATGGTTTGTGACCCTATTGGACATTATCCAGTTTTGTATCTAACCCAGCAGTCATACCCTAACACTTGTAAATTGCTTATATATAACTAGCTTCTTAAGTGCTTTTTTGGACCAGTTTTAACATTTTTCTGGGTTCTTTATTAAATTACAAGTCAAATAAAGTCTTTGGAAAATGTTTATTTTATATTTGCAGGAGAGTCACTTTTTTAAATATTGCCCATATCCCCCTTTTGATAAATTACTTGAAGTTGTACTTCAGATATAATGTAATCTCCTTCTCAGTGGATCTTAACACACTACTAGTTTTACAGTTAATAAATTTGTATGCCATAATATGGTAAATATTTTCAAATCAAATTATATGACTCACTTATACTTACAAATAGAATATAAATATTATAAATCTTGACAAGTCAAAGTAATGGCATTGCTGACAAAAGTCAGGAGTGGGAGGGGGAGAGAGGAGGTGCACGACATGATGCTAATTTCCTATCTTACACAGCAGGGAGGGAAGGAAGTCTGCCCACAGTTAATAGACTAAGAAAAAGAAGTTTGTTTTCTAAGGTTATAAAATCAACCAATTGAAAAACTTAAAATTAATACTGGCAAAAAGTTTTTAAAGCTGGGAGTTAGGAGATTATGTTCAGTCAACTAATTTCCTAATTTCCATTGTGTGCAGCCAAAAGATATATTGTCTATATATCTATAGTTCAGAAAACAAGTACATAAGTGTATAACAGAATTACAATAATAACCATCAGAAGAGTCATGATCAGACAATGGCTAAAAGTGTTTTTTTCTGGAGATTGGGACTAGGGATTGAGTGGTGTTATGGACTGAATTGTGCCCCCCACATTCAGATGTTGAAGCTCTAACCCATCAATGTGACTGGATTTGAAGAAAGGGCCTTTATGGAATTGATTAAGGTTAAATGAAGTCATAAGGATGGGACCCTCATCCCATAGGACTGGTATCCTTGTGAGAAGAGGAAGAGACACCAGAGATCTTTCTCATTCTCAGGCACACACAGAGGAAAGGGCATGTGAGGACACAGTGAGAAGGTGGCCATCTGCAAGCCAGGAAGAGAGGCCACATCAGAAACTGAATCTACCAGCACTTCACTCTCAGACTTCTAGCCTCCAGAACTGTGAGAAAATACATCTCTGTTGTTTAAGCCACCCAGTGTATGGTATTTTGTTACAGCAGCCCAAGCAGACTAATATAGATGGAAATTTTTCAATTGGTACTCTTTTGTACTGCTCTTTTTTTTAATCATGAGCATGCTTTTGTAAGATATTCAAATGGAAATTATTACAATAATATTATACTTAAGATAATTAACAACTAAAAATGTGTCATTTAAAGAAAGGCACAGAATGGCTAATAGGGCACAGATGGTTAAGTTATTACGTCTTTAGAGTTATAAGAGGGGAGGTAGATGTCACACTGAAGGTGAATGAACAAAATCTAACCACATGAAATTTAGATTTTTTTTAATAGAGGCCTGATTTTTTAATTTTTTTGGCTGATAAAGATTAGCCCAGAGCTAACATCTGTTACCAATCTTCCTCTTTTTTTTCTTCCCCAAAGCCCCAGCACATAGTTGTATATTCTAGTTGTAAGTCCTTCTAGTTCTTCTATGTGAGCCACTGCCACAGAATGGCTACTGACAGATGAGTGGTTCTGTGCCTGGGAAGAGAACCCAGGCCGCCAAAGCAGAGCATGCCGAACTTTAACCACTAGGCCATCAGCGCTGGCTTGAAATTTAGATTTTTAGGATGTGATAAATCTAAGCCAGTGAGAAAGTGCCTACTTTGTAGAAATATCTACAGAGCTAAATACGAAGAAAATTAAACCCCTTTATAATTTATTCTATTGGACAGCCTAATCATATTAAATCAGAATTTTTGTTTCCCATAAATACATTGCTATAAGTTGTATAGGGAAAATTAAACAACTAGCTGTTATCTGTCATGTGAATTTAGTAAGAAAAAAGTAAAACTTTGAACAAAGTAAGGAAACCAAGATTGTGTAAACAACTTCAATTCTGTCCCTCATTTAGTATAATTTTGGAATCTGTTTTGGGAATTTGGGAATATTTGGGAATATTCCGTTTCATTTATTGAAGTATTTTAGATGGAGAGGGATTAGAAAGGTTGGACAATTGCTATTTGACCGCATACAACAAACAGTTTAACTGTATCTCAGGCCTGTCCCTCCCAGTCCTAAAAAACCATAGCGTGGCTCCTTGTAGCCATTTTTGGGGCAATTAGAGTCACAAAGCACTATAGAAATAGCTCAGGCGTATGGAAACCATGTAATGATGTACTAATAATTTCCTATAATGGGATTTAAACAAAGGATTCTGGTCATCGAGAAATTTACAATTGAAAACAGCACTATAGATCTGCCATCAAACAGGAAGTATTTTGACAAAAGCCTATTTATAACTTATTCCTATGACTCAGTTTTTTTCACCACAGGCACTGCAATTTAAGGACTAACCCCAAAGGGAGTTGCAAAAAAGTCCAAAAGAGCCTCAATTCTCTAGGAGGATTTTCAAGTTTCTCAGCAAGGGCCATATTAAATAGATGAGGTAAAAGTTTGAGAAAAACAAGGCTAGTATCATCCCTGTTTCTTTTCAGCAAATCCCAGGTTTAAATTTTATTACATTCCACCTCAGTTCCCCAGACATCATGTGGAAAAGGCTTCTGGAATGATGTGGACAAATTTAGATATTGACAAACTAGATACTGGCAAAAGATTTGTGGATCTGTGGGA